TCCGGGGCTGAGACCCGGCAGGGAAGCTCGGCGAAGCGCTGCCGGGTGTGCAGGGAGACAGGCCTGGAGCCCCAGGTTCCAGCAGCCCCTCAGGCCCACAGCGGAATCGGGGAACATCCCAGGGCGGTCCCACAGACCTGCAGGCCGGGAGCCCAGAGGGATCCAGCCCCCCTGTCCCGGCCCTGGGGAGGCTCCGGACATTCCCTCAGCTGCTGCTCCAGGGAAGGATCAGTTCCCCAATCACAGGAGTCACATCCCTTTGATTTTTGTTGTTGTTTTGTTGTGTTGTTTTTTTTTTTCTCTTGCAGCCACGGAAATGAACAGCTCGTATTTTTAAGGAAAAGTGAGATTCCCCAATCACAGGAGTCACATCCCTTTGATTTTTGTTGTTGTTTTGTTGTGTTGTTTTTTTTTTTCTCTTGAAGCCACGGAAATGAAAAGCTCGTATTTTTAAGGAAAAGTGAGATTTCCACGCCCAAAATGTCACCGAGAAGGTTCCAGGAGAGCTGTCCCCTGCTGCAGGCTGTTCTGAGGCACATCTGGGGATGTGGGGATCCCCAGCCCCACGAGTGGGAAACGGGCTTGAGAATTCACCTTCTCACCTCGTTTTGTAACCGTGGCACCACCGTCTGTGCCTTTGTGGCCTATTCATACTTCTATTTCACTTTCAGTTGGCGTTTCTGCGTTAGAAATCCGTGTGGGATCATCTCGGCCTGTGAGGGGTTTGAGCTTTTACATTTTCCACAGCGCAGGAAGGAACATGAGAGGCCTACAAGTAATTAAGTTGTGCCTGACCTCCTTCTTCACTTTAGTACTCACAAGCTAATTTATGATTCAGAATGGAACCAGGAAGCAAGAACTTCGAGTTCCAATCTGAAGTGTGCCGTTGACTCATTCTTTGGCCTTTATCAGATGATTTTGTGCCTCAGCTTAGTGTCCAAGAGTCAGGAATCCCTAGCAACCATGTTGTAATGATTAATTAGGTTAGACCTGAGACCTTTTGCTACTGGAGCCCACCAAAAACATCAGAAACATTCAAAGTGGTATTTAAATTCATAAAGCATAAAATGCCATGTATTTAATGAATAATATCTAGAGTAATCTTTTACACCAACCATCTTCCAATATTAATGTTTTTAAAATATCAAATATGATATTTCTAGGTACAAGATGTTTCCCATGTAGTTGCACAGCAAAATAAAAACAGATACTATTGCTAAGAGCAATTTTTTTGTTTCTCACCTACAGCAAAACCAGCAGCAGGCAAATTTTAATTCCATACTCCAGTATTTTTCAGCCACATTGAGTCTCCTGGAAGTTTCAAACATTAACAATCACAGAATTTGTAATTTATGTACAGCCAAGCAAGTGGAATGGTATCAATATCCTGACAGTTCATTGAGGGGTTTTGTGTGTCATGCTGAATCATCTAACATCCCAATGTTTCTAAGTAGGAAAACGATGGATTACAGAGGAGACAAATTCACTCGGTTTTGATAAAGTTTGTGCTTACAGTGCTCAATGGGTATTTTTCAAGCTCTCTGTAGCTACGGATGTAGTTTTCAGTGTGAAAGCAATCACAGCCACTCTCCAGACTGCACAGATCACAGGTTGAGGCACAGAAGGGAAAAACGATTGCCTGTCTCCTTTGTAGTAAAGGCAGAGCATCCTGTTTGCAAACTCCCACACAATTCCTGAGGCTGTTTACACGATCCTATCACATAGAGCACCTCTAGTTGCTTTTATTTTTTGTAATTTTTTTTAATGCACACGGTCCTGAGTTAGCTGGGTCTGTTGAAAACATACAGAAAAGATCAATATCAGTAAACAAGAATTACTGATACAAACATTTTTACTACCATGCAGCCATACAGACCTAATTCTAAATAGATTATCTGAATGATCACTGCAATGTGGTTAGTCACAGACTATTAACAATGTTCTTCTGACATGCAAGCAGATACATTAAAATGAAAAATAATCTCCTCTCTAAGTAGAGCCTAACCAAGTAGACCAGATGTTCTCGAGTACAGAGTGTCCCTTAACCAAAAAATGAGGGGTTTTCAGCAAAGGTACCAGCGAGGTGCCAAGATCTGGTTAGGAAAAGGAGGTGTACCATATCTCAACTCAGAGAAAGAGTCAGGAGTTCAAAATTCAGTGACAGAAGATGTTACTGCCCACACAGACACAAGATGCTGCTGAACACATAATTGGCAGCATCTTGCTGATCTGCGTGTCAGGACTGCTGTCGAGTTAGGAACTATAAAGCATGCATTTTTCTCCTCTGGCTTTTCAATGCTTCCTGCTTATTAGAAGGAGAAAATATGCACATCTAGGGAAGATGTTGTATAGATGAACTAAGGCTTCATAGGAAGTAAAACAAACAAAACCTGGAAACCTTTGCTAGCTGTGAAATGAAAAAGCAGATGTCATCAAGATCCAACTTGGTTAATGTGAACACATGTATTTATGCAGAGTCAAGAGTTCTGTTGTTGCTTTCAATGGTGGCAGGGTAAAGCCCATGTCATCACATTACCTTTGCTGCTATTTTATGTAAAAACTGCAGGAATAACATACAGGTTTTGAGCAGGAAGATTTGTTGCATATCTCGATGATAAAAACGTCTGCACTGTCCAACCTGGGCTCGCCACTCTAGCAGCAAACCTAACAATAAAGTGGAAATGCAAGCTTTGTCAGTAACAGCATGGCTCTTACAGGTGTGGCAAAATTAAATGAACGGAAGAGTAAAGCTAACAATTATTTTTAAAACACACACCTACTATTTGCTCGATGATTTATACATTATTAACATTTAAACAGCTTTCTATATTTATTCCAAAAGTACAAGTTTAGGACAAGTTTCAAACAGCACTTTAGATTTTGCTTGAGCTGAGCTCTGGTCCTTTGAAAGTCAATTTTCTCTTCAGTGCATGCTTTAATTGTGCTATTGACTACAGGGCTTTCAGACAGTAATGAAAGTGTTGTTTAAGAAGCTTTGACAGAATAATCACCAAGTAGCTCCATTTGTTCCAACTCCACCTGGAGTTCAGTGAAGCATATAAACAGGATGTATACTTTTCTAACATTGCTACTTTAAAACATGTAAGGGACTTTTCACTACTGCAGACTAGACTGTCTTGCCATTTAGATCTTAACTACACTTCTTGCTTACATTTCTGTAGAAGTGTTTCTCTATATGTATTTTCTTTCCTGCCTGCCTTTTTTTCCCTAGGTTTCATTTCTTCTGATGTGGGGACTGCTCAAAACTCCATGACCAGGAGTTTCAGTGAAATGGCAGCCATCAGGAGCTGCACTCTCCACGACTCCACTCCATGATTTCCGCCCACTTGGGCAACAGAAATGAGGAAGCAATTTTTACAGACTCATTTTGCTCAGTATTTCCTTTTCGGGTAGAAACAAGTCAAAACACAAAGTCAAACTGTTGTTTGGACAGATGAGAATTTTTAAATGATCACCATCATTCCAATTATTGTGGTCATGCCACAGTATTTGTTAATAACACATAAATGCCCCCTCCTGGGAAGTGCTGAAGGCCAAAATGGATGGAGCAACCTGGTCTAGTGGGAGGTGTCCCTACCCATGCAGGGGGTTTGGAACTAGGTGATCTTTCAGGTCCCTTCCAATCCAAAACAATCTATGAATCTAGGAAATATTTATTACATTGTTAAACTTGCATGTAAAGACACACAAGCTGAAAACTTTACCATACAAAGGCTAGACAATTGTTTACATCACCTATAAAAATAATAAATAGCAATTAACAAACAGTTGCCTTTATCAGAGAGGCTTTTAATCTTATGAAAAGGAACAACAGGTTCAAAAGTCCCATCATCCTCACTAAATCAGGCTGCCAGATTTATTATATTTGCATCTACAGTTTTATCGATGAATCCAAGGTTTTTTCATTAGTTCATCTGTTACGAAGCCAATGTGCCTGCAATATCCCATGTTCCCATTTTCCCCTCCCTTTAAAGGTGTTTGGACATGATTTTAACCTGTCCTCTCACGCACACACAAGCTCACAAGCTCAGATGTGCCAGCTCCCTGTTCCTTTTTGTGCATGGCTCTTAAGTCCTCCCAGCCGAGGCTGTATGTCATTGAGCAGCTGCTCCAAGATACTAGGCCTTTGAACTTCAATGAAAACAACTTAACAGTGGGTAGACAGAACAGAGGAGGGGTGTGCAAAGCCAGTTTGAAGCAGATGGTGAACACTGCAGCAGCTGTTGTCTCGTGTGCTGTGGAAACCTGCCCGTCTGGGAACGCATGAGCGCTTCTGCTCATACCGGAGGGACAAGAATGATGAACCTGCCCCAGAACTTCTGGTCTGACACTATGCGAATGAGCCTTACTCAGTAGAGAAGCAGGTTGTTATCAACACTGGAGAGCTAGCTTTCTCTCTGTGTCCCAGATCCATGACTAAACAGTCATGCTCAAGCGGCAAATCAAACATCAGCCTGGTGGCTATGGAAGTTTGTGACAGCAGGAAGAAAATAGGTTATGTGTGAGCTATCAGCACAGCTCAACAGGATGAGTTTAGGAAGGTGGGCTAAGATTTGCCTTGGATCAGCCTGAATCACTGATTACTTTTACAAGAGGTGGAATGAGGGTGGTAGGTTAGATCCAATTGTATAGTTTTGGATTTAGGACTACAATCCTCTCTGGCAGAAACCTTTGAGCAAATGGATGAAAGAGTTTTTTTGCTGGCTATCAAACAAAGGTTAGAAGGGCTGTCAGGATGAGTCACCCACCTAAATTAACATCTTCAACTGATATGGGTGTAGACCTTAAGTGTGATTTCTAGGCAGGGATTACATCACCAGCTTTAAAAACATCCTGATAAATACTGAACTCAGAAAGGGGAATGGATTAGACAGGGCATTTTATTTTCCTTCTATTTCCTTACTGGCTGAAGAGTCAAGAAGAAACAACAGTGACCTCCCAGATGCCTGTGAGCCCACTAAATGGAGACATAATGCCTAATGGGCTTGCAAATCTTTATCATCCAGGTGAGTCAGCCTATGCTGTCTGCCCACTGGCCAGAATATGTCACAAGTCATCCCTTTGCAAAGAATGATCTCTGTCCTCTATGAAACTGAGATGTGGTTGGAAAGTTGGAGTCTAGATACCAGCTAGTGAAGTAGGATCCATCAAAGTGGTCCTGCACACAGAATAACTGTGGAGCTTCTGCTGACCCTGTGTTTTTCAATATCTTCATCTACCTGCGGAGCCTTCTCTGGCAGGCACGTACAAGCTTGTGTGCTCTGACCTACTTTTAGTGTCTCTGACACTTCTGTCCTAGGTAAGTGGGAGCACCAGGGACTTCTGTGTGGCTACATGTATAAATATACAAAAATAACCTATTAGAAGTTGCCTGTTCTCCTCCCTTCCCCTCCCTTTCTCTCATGAGAATCCAGGGGAATGGCGCATACCTCTTTAAAGCTTTTATGCTCCATCCAGCCAAAGAAAAAAAAAATAAAAGGCCCTCTGCTTTAAACTTACCTGCTTTTAAAGGAGGAAAATTTTAACCAAAGAACACCCAAAGAATGAAGGGGTTTCCCCCATTGTTTCTAGCAACCACATTTACCAGTCAGTAAGGATGTTCCCTACTGACTGTAGTAAAAATTAGGCTAAAATATTCCCTTTAGAAGTCTGAGGTTTACATATGATGGAACAGTCCAGCTGTAGATTTCCATAGATAAAATGTGCACTGGAGAAAAGCAAGCTTACTGGAGAAGGATGACACATGCATCACCCAAATTGTCACACCCATGTGCTATGATCAAACTGGGAAAAAACAATATTGAAACACTACTACAGTTATCCTCCGCATTTCCATCTGTAATGTTTTCTCCATTTGACAAAGAAATATGAATCACTTGAGGGTATAAAAAAACCATAACTGTTGTTTCCCACAGCACAGAAATACACAACTTAAAGCAGAAATGCAAACAATACTGTGCTAGCTATGACTAAAGCCTATCTCTGGTATGCAGTGTGAAGCCCCATGTGTGGAGAAGGCAGGACAGGATAAAGCTGTGAACACTGAGGAGGGCTCATACTTCAAATAATTGTAGCTCAGAACTAAAGCTCAGTGCTTATTAAGATTACTGCAATAAAAATTGTATGCGTGGCCATCACTTCCATTCTATAACACCTGAAAAAACAGATGGGATGACTCTGCATCTTAACATTTGCTTTTCTAATAGCCTAGTTTGTTAAGCTTGTCTTTGGGTTGCAGAAAATTTTGCTACTGGGAAACAAGGGATGGTAATTTTACTACAAAGAGCACAAGCATTTAGAAAGTACTTATTTCCTAATGATTTATTCTCTAGGGAGCCACTTCATTATTACCTTCACTTTACCAGAGGACTGAATATCAAAGAATTTGCTTGCATAGATAAGTTAAACAACTAATGTTTTTTGTACTTCTTTTAAAATTTAAGTAGATATTTTAAGCGTTATAAAGCAGAATGTGAAATAATACAAATACAATTTTAAGGATGTCTAAAAGGTGATAAAATAATTGATTTTAAGATCTATACCAATCATTCCTAGTGGATCTCTTTAGATAGATTTGTTCTACTCCATTTAGAGATTGTCACATACATTTGGTGACAAAATGTTGAGGGTTTTTGTTATTGTAGTGTTTGTGTTTTTAAAAAAGGATATTCCCCTAAATACCTTTTAGGATGTTTGGAAAAAAAAGTTTGGCTTATAGAAATAACTCATATATATCTTCCAGGGCTTTGTTTCAGTTTTGTTTTCTCTGCAATACTTTGTGATGTTGATAATGAAACTGTTCATGATCTAGCACATGCTACTCACAAAAAATAATCACCACTAATCCAGGAAAACCTTTTCTTTCTATTGACAGTGCTCATATCAGAAAAAGTCTTGTGTTCCACACAGTAAAATCAGAGATTTCACCTGCTTGAATTAATGAAGCTCCATGTTTAGGGTTTGACAGAAACCTGGAATTCCATGGTATGAAAAGAAGGTGAATTTTAAAATTAAGGTAAAGCCAAGAACTGCTCACAAAAAGTAATTGACAGGTACACTGAACACTAAACAGCCTTTTTGATAGGACATGTGTCCTGACAATAAAACCTGAATGGTAATCTTTTATATTCAAGGACAGTGCTATTCTGTAAGCTTTTGGTAATTTTCTAAGTGTGTTTAAAACATGTTGGGAAAAAATTAAGCAAAGGAAAGACCAGTCATGGCATGTTTTGATGAGATAGCCCCAAAGGTTAGAAATCTTCCTAATTAAGATATTAGCAAAGTAGTAAACTAATTTTATCAAATGCATTCACACTGACATCCAAATTTGTAATTTTCTACCATTAGTCTAAGTTTAAATTAAATACCTGTTTTTTCTACAGTAAATCAAAAGCATTGCTACACCATCTTGAACTTCATTTATGGTCTACATGTAAAAATTAACTCCTTAATCAAAATAATAAAAGAATTAATCAATTATTTTAATAAGCAAACAGATTGGATGTTATTGGCTACTTTAAAAGTAATGATTAAATAAGATACAATTAGGAGTAGCTTGTGGTAAAGCAAAATTATTCTGTATTTTCTCTTTACTGAAATAGTCAGAGAAGACACTGTTAAAATCCCCTGACCTTTCAGTCTGTCTGCTTCTTGAAGAACAGAAGAAAAACACTAAGAAACAGTGTAGGTCAATCTTGTTCATTCTTTGACTCTGCAGTATACAAAAACCAATTCCTTTTTACTGAGACTATGTGCGTGCATATCCATGTATTGTAGGTTGTCACCTCTTTTTCTAGACATTTATTTCCTTTAAATTATCACTTTTCATCTCATTTTTTAAGCCCTGGCTTTCAAATACTTTCAGCTATGCCCCCCAACCATTGATTGATGCATATATCTCAATCTTCACAGGGAAAAGAAATCCCAGCAGTACCAGTTTCTCTCCTGACACATGCAATATCACCTTACAATCTCAGTTATGATGGTACTTTTTATCCCATCAACACTATTGACTAGTAGGGCTTTACTCTGTCACCTGCAATGTGCATTCTCTTAGGGATCACAGATACAGCCCCTGGGGCTAGGGATTGTATGCAATTAAAATAAGAAGTGATTTTATGAAACTTGTGAACTTCACAAACTAAGCTTACTCATTGTTATTATTCACTTGACCAGAAAGAAAAGAAAAACATAAGAACCTGGTCAGACCAAAAATTCATCCAGCGGAGTATCCTGTCTCTATCCTATGGCCAAAGATTGGAGACCTAAGGAAGAGAAGTACCTACCAGTGCTTCTGCAGAAAATGCTCTCCATCAGTTTGTGGCTCAGGGACTTTGTGAGCAGAGACACTGTCTTTCATTTAATAGCTGCTGATCTATTGATGTGTCTGCCACCTTCTAAACCCATGGGATCTTTTAGGATTCTGTAGCAAAGGTTCACTTAGCTTAACTGTGTCTTGTACTTAGGAACTGGAAGAAGGAATGAAGGCCAGGTCCTGCCTGAATGTATTTTTATCTTGAGAGGGAAAGGAAAACTAGATCCCTCCTTGTTAGTGGGACAGAAGTTATTAGGGAGCTCTGGACTGGCTGAATCAACCTATAGATGTAGAATGAGACACGGAATAGAGAGCCTCAACTTCCTTCCCTGCCTGCAGGGAGCTTCTTCCCACACACAAGCATGCAAGCACAATTAGCAATATGCTACAGCAAGGAAAGGACATGCACAGGAACTGTATTCTCCAATGTCTTTTTTTTCTGGAGATGCCATGCTTATTAATGTTCCACTTCACCTTCACCCCTACCTACAGAAGGCATCTCCTCATGGTAAATGGTAAGAATAGATCCCACTTCCATGTCTGACTAAGCTAATCCACACAATTCTCCTTCTACCGCACACAGTTTATGATCCTTACTAGAAGCTGTAATGTTTTCCTTCTTGAACTCTCTAAAGCTAGAAAGACATGCTCACATCCTGGTACCAATTGTAACAGCAGTATTTTATTATGCCTGTGAAAGTTACACATAATCAAAAGCTCCACATAAGGTGCTACAAGAACTCTGAAACCAACTTTGATTTTACCATCTTTAACTTTCCAGGCTGCAGTCTTGGTCTTTTCTTCAAGAGAAACTTTTGGGCACTTGAATTCTAAAGCAGCTCTCATGTCTTTGACCACTGAAATAAGCCTGGAGAGAAACAAGAAAGTTGTGAGACAGATTAATTGGATTTATACAGAAGTAGATGGCTAGAAGCTGAAGTGCAGAACGAAAACTGCTCTTTTGAGTGTTCTGATAAAAACCAAATAATGAGGTGCTTGGGTTTTTTTTTGTATGACTCGTAATAGTCAGCCATTGAAAAATCACTGTTTTACCTTTTACTTCACTCCTGGTCCCTAAAACTGAGAAAGAACAGCATACTTCAGGCTTCAAAGGTCTTGAAAACATTACAGAAGCTCACCTATGTTAACACTGTTCCTCTTTAAAAGCTCTGATTTTTCTCCTCTCTTTTTGAAGGTCCTGACCCTTAGAGGTTCTTTTCATGCCTTACTGCAAAGTCAGCTTCTCCTAGGGAACTTTTTTCTGAAGGTATTCTTAAAATGAAATAACACACAAATGGTGGAGAACTGCCGTGGTGACTGATGGTCTCTGCTAACTGTAGTTAACCATCACTCCTTTGCAGAGCAGCTGGCCTGAACAGAATGTGATTTGTATGTGTACACGTTTGTTAGGATGGCTCAGGTTTTTGTAGTCTCTCAAGGGATAGTTCCTTTCCCTGAATAACTTTGTCTTCGTTACTGAGTTGGCATAACCCATTGTACACCAAAGTTCATGAACACATCAGCCTTGTTTTAGATACAGATATATCTTCACTCATAAATGACTGCACTGAGGTAAGTCAAAGTGCTCCTGGAGAAGACAAACCAGAGCGCAAATGGGAGTGGAACTCATCTCCTACTTATGTAGTGCACACGTGAGTTGTGCCAGATCTTCCTCACACCAGCAGGTCCCCA